ATAATCAGATCCCCAATTCCACCTAGATGTAGTGCAACTGTAAGAAAACGCTATGTGAAGGTTTTGTTTACATGGATAGACGCTACTTAGCCACGCTAAGCCCTTACCTTCCTGTCAGCAAATGAATAAACGGACAGATCGGTCCAAATATTGAAGGTGCCGCAAAGGAGGCTAAGCAGATAAACCAATTAGTATTACTAGCAATTATTAAAGCCAACAAACAATAAAACAGCCACGCTTACCCAGAACAGTGCAAACAAAGGAAGCAGATTTGGTTGACGTCACGACGCAAGCAGCCTCATGACAGGTGAAGGCTTGCTTATATGCAGCAGCTGAAATTGGCCTTAAAGTGGCAGCGCACCATTTATGCTGCTACAGTCTACCCCCCCAACTTGCGTCGACGCCCCGACGACGACCCCTAAAAATACTAGCACCAAGGTCTAAATACTGCAGAAACGGCATTGCAATTTGAATCATGAGAGTTTGCAGCCCCATGCGCTAGTGCCATTGGTCTTGGGAGATGGTGGACATTGGAGTGCTGACCTGCTGTTGAACGTGTAGTTCTCCTCATCACCCTCGGAGGGCCCTGATCATTACTTGAGCTGGCAACACTAGGAGTTTGAGATGCAGATGTTGAAGGAGCTTCATGATGGGATGCCCCAGAGGACAAAGGAACAGTGTCATTTCTGACCATTTGTGGGTCGGCGGGCAAAGAAGGTGCTGCCTGGTGGACATTTACCTTCAAAAACAAATCAGGATCATATTCATCCTCAGAGGATGAATCATTCAACAGTGGTTCCCCACGAGGTGATGCTGGGACATCACTACAAACAACTGGCTTCAATAGAGACCGATGGACTCTTTTCGTTTTGTTCAATTCATCTGCAGGAGCAACAGTGTAAACTGCTCCAGTGTCACCCAGTACTTTCAGGACCTTATACACCTTGGAGCGCCACAGATCTTGAATTTTGTGTCTTCCCTGGTGACTGGTGTTTCGAAGTAGGACAAGTTGGCCTTCATGCAGAGGAGAGTCTTGAACATGCTGGTCATTATTTCTCTTTCTCCTATCTGCAGCAGTCTTCAGCTTCTCCCTTGCTTCCTCAAAAGCCAGTTTCAAGCGCATCTGGTGCTCTGCAACCCACTTGTTAACACTGCCAGCACTTGGTTCCAATACATGGCCGAGAAGAAAATCTAAAGGAAGCCTAGGTTGTTGGCCAAACATCAGAAAGAAGGGACTTTCTCCAGTGCTCTGATGTGGTGTGGTGTTATAACAAAAGACAACTTG